TTTAAAATTTGTTGTGTTTTCTGGGAGTATAGTTATTCTCTGCTATTTAAAAGAATAGCACTTTTAAAAACAATAGCACTGGCCCTCTTCAGATCAAACATTTATTTTAAAAAGCTTCTGCATTTGGTTAAATTGTCTAGAATAATAATAAAGCAGTCTTTAAAAAATAAGTCTAATAATTTGAACATTCTATAGGTATTTATAGTTGTTGTCTTTCCTCCTTCCCGCCAACAGCCTGATTAGCACAAGAAAAAAAAATCTGCCTCTGCCTCTCAGCAATTTGCCTCCTGGAGCAAACAGCAAGTTTCAGGCTGCAGGGGTTGTTATAATCTATTAAAGCCTCTGCTTGCCCCCCCCCCTTTTGCTGCAAAGAGGTAAATTGCTGGGAGGCAGAGGCCAAAGGACTGGGGCCAGTGCGTGGGTGGGTCTACATTCACTGTATAAGACACACCCATATTTTCAACCTCTTTTAGGGGAGGGGGAAAGGGTGCCTCTTATACTCAGAAAAATATGGTAAGTGCTATTGCTGTTCTAACTGGTTTTCCTTTGTCTGGTTATAATTTTATGTTAGTGCTATTAGCCACCCCAAAGATGATTTGTAACAGGAAATGGGACAGAAATGTTAATACATAAAAACATGGTGATCTGCCCTGGGAAATACCCTCCCTGGAATCCGCAGCCTCCCCCTCCTTCCAGAAAGTGGTAAATAGCTGGCTTTTCCCCCAGATGTGGGGAAAGGGTGAATCTGAGGGTTGGAGAAGAACTGAGTAGCAATAGGAGAGCTGCTGGTGAAGTTGCTTTTTTCTGTTTTGGGTTGTACTGTTTTTGTATGCTATTGTTTTAACCTCTGGTTGTAAGATGTCTAGAGTTCTCATTTTAGGATGGATAGGTCATGTAAATATTGTAAATCAATGTTTTTAAAAAGTATGACATGTAATGTAATGAGCAAAGCTATGTGGAGGATTCCGAAGGGGCCTTCTGCAAAGTGCCCCTCCTTAAAGGGTTCACGAAGTCTTTCTGGATTTTCTTTGAAGACGTTTCCCTTCTCCTCCAAGAAGCTTCTTCGGCTCTGACAGGATGATGGGGAATGGAAGGGTTTATACTCCTTACAGACAGCTGGTCATTTGCATTTTAAGTCACCTAGAGGTTTTTCTGTGTCCTCAGGGTCACCTGAATGGTGCGAATTGGTGTGAATTCCTTCTTGGAACCACTAAAAGGATATAAAAAAAGCACTTTTTGGACAACCATGACCTGGTTAACTGAAAATCTCCATAGGGTTCCCTGAAGGTTTTGGCCAGCAGCTTTCACAAGTGCACAAACACCTGAGTTCCCATGGGTCGAAACAACTAGGGAAAGTCAAGATGCTTCCGGAGCATTTCTTTTCAATGCTCCATGCAGCCCTAGCGGTCAATGTAAATAGAATAAAATAATAGTCTCAACCAAGATTAAAATATAAGTTTTTGTGATGCTAATGGATCTTTGATTCTTCCCACTTGACACGCCCTTCCATTCCACTCTGGGGCATCTAATGGGATGCTTTTCTGAACAATGAAAACTGCACTGGCTGACCAGTGGACATAGCATTGGCTTGGCAAACAATTTACTCTCCATTTGTTAAGTACTTTAACAAGTCTAGCTCTCAAATTCTTTCCAGGGATACTTAACTAGAACTCAATTGGCTGTGCTGAACATTATCGGCTTACTTTTGTATAAATATACTCTTTAAAAGGAGCCCAGCCCAGCACGTTCCTGTACATTGACCTCCTCTGTTCTGCAGACCAGGGACGTGCAGTCACTAGAGGCAGGGGAGGTGGGGCCTCACCAGTCTCCTGAGGGAAAGGAAGAATTTTAAATATTTTTTTTA